GGCGGCCCTGCGCGCTGTGTACCGCCTCAAGGGCCGCAGCGAGGCCAAGCCACTGGCCGTCTGCCTGGGCCGCGTGGCCGACGTCTACAGGTGAGGCCGCCCCGACCCGGCCCCGCTGGGGGCGGCACCGCGGGAGGGGTTTCCGGTGACAGGCTTGGGAGACTGAGGCGCAGATAGCGGGAGGGGCTTGTCCAGGCTCAGCTAGGAATCCGGAACTGGAAACGTGTACTGAGCACTTCACGTACTCCGGGCCCTGAACTACATGCTGGGACGCAGCGATGCTAGTAGGGGAAAGCCCGCGAGAAAAAGGAAACACAGTAGCTTAATTTAGTAGCGAGTGCCTTGGAGAAAATGAAACATGGAGCTCGGTATGGCCATCACAGCTTCACAGCGATGCAGCTGTTGTAGTTTCTGAGGCCAGAGGCACGTGGGCTCCCGGCCAGGAGTGCACCTCTGGAGCCCTGTCTTCTGCTCAAGCTCTAGGGAGGCGAAGCAGGGAGACAGACGGATCCCATTGCAGACCCTAGGACCCCTTTCCTTTTCCCCTCTTATTAAACTTAAATGAAGAGTGTAGCAAATCCCTTCGTTTTGAATGGATTTATACTCCTTTGATTCTCAGGTACTGCCATGTGCGAGTACCGGAGGAGCTCTTGAAAGACCTGTTGCCAGGACCAGTGACCCTGGTGATGGAACGCTCAGAGGAGCTCAACAAGGACCTGAACCCCTTTACTCTCGTGAGTCAGGTTTTCTTTTGTGTCCCCAGACTCCTGGCCATTTGGCTTTCACTGAGATCCAGACCAGACCTATCCCCTACCCATTCCATCCTTTCTGATGATCCTTTCCCCCCTTGCCTTGTAGCTTGTAGGCATCCGGATTCCAGAGCATGCCTTTATGCAAGATTTAACCCAGGTGTTTGGGGGACCTCTTGCTCTCACTAGTGCCAACCTCAGCTCCCAAGGCAGTTCTCTCAATGTTGAGGTGAGTTACCCAGTCCTTCCCCCAGAAACCTCACCAGCTCAAAGTCTGTCTTCTTTGAACTAGTGGGTTGATGGTGCACTGGAAATTCCTGGCAGGAGAGACTTTGGGCCAGCAGTTGGCAGGCTGCCCACTGGTAGGGAGCAGGGATGGGGGCAGTCTAAATGAAAGAATCTTGAAAAGATTTTATCTTACAGTTTGAGATCCCAGGTGGGGAGAGTTGATGTTTTCTTCTTACTATCTTTTTACTAATAGGAAAGATTGTGGTCAGTAAAGTCATTGTTTTCCTGTTTTTGTGGAGGTACCAGTATTTACAGAATACAGAATCAGGCTATAAAGCTTTACAACAGTGCTGTAAAGAAAGATGAAGTTTAGCCGGGCTCGGTGGCTCAGCCTGTAATCCCGCGCTTTGGGAGGCTGAGGTGAGTGAATTGCCTGAGCCCGTGGGTTCAAGACCCGCCTGGGCAACTTGGTGAGACCTCATCTCTACAATAAATTTAAAAATTAGCCGGGCGTGGTAGCGCACGCCTGTAGTTCCAGCTACTTGGAAGGCTGAGTGGAAGGATCGCTGGAGCCCAGCAGGTCGAGGCTGCGGTGGCCGGAAGCGGCCACAGCACTCCAGTCTGGGTGAGAGTGAGACTCCAACTCAAAAAAAAAAGATGAAGTTAGGCTCCAGAGAGTTAAATCACTTGTTCCAGGTCACACAGCCATTAAGTGACTGACCCAGATTTTTACCTAATTTTTGACTCCTCACCCTGTTCTCTTATCTCTTCCACAAGGCAGATCAAAGAAAGATCATCCTAATCCTGTTTTGGCAACATTGCTTAGAACTAATGAGTGCACAAAGAAATGTCACTTACTTTTCTTCTTACTAAACTTAAATGTAGAGTGTAGCAATAAGGTGATGGGGCTTTCCATGCCCAGACCCAGAGATGGGGCTTGGGGACCTTGGAAAGGGAGAGTTGAGCATCCCTTCTCAGGGGTGGGGATGCAGCAGGAGGCAGGGGGGTTCTTACCTTGTCAGCAGTCTGACCTGTTCAACACAGTAACTGGTATTTACAACTCCTCATTCCAGTTATCAGGCCTAACTGCCACTGCAGTGTCTTCATTGGTGAGCAGGTGAAACTCTAGCTTAGTTACCGGTTCAGTCCACAGTTCTAGTGGTAGTATCCTTCTCATAGCCCAAGGACAGAGTGCGCTGGTGTACATTTGCAGAGTCCACCTGTTTTCTGCTACCCTGATCCGCAGTTGCAGTGAGGTCCAGGAGCAGAGTGCTAGAGCTAGAACAGCCTCAGTGACCATCTAGTTTAGCCCCCTTGTTGTATAAATCTGGATAGAGTAATGTGCCTGCAGTCACACAGAGATATGGTGGAAAGTCCAGAGTTAGAGCCCATATCTCTGAATTCCCACCCAGAACACCAGTCATTGTACTTACATTTCTAACTGAAGTTATGTGTGAAATTTCCCTTAGGCACAGCAGGATTTCCTTTAAGCTCTAGATGAGGCTGGGTGCAATGGCTCATGCCTATAATTCCAGCACTTTGGGAGGCCAAGGTGAGAGGATTGTCAGCCCCGGGTTTGAGACCAGCCTGGGAAATGTGACTGGTCCCAAAAATTAGCTGGGCACTTGCCTGTAATTCCAGCTGCTTGGAAGGCTGAGGTGGAAGGATCACCTGAGCCCAGCAGGTTGAGGCTGCGGTGGCCGTGAGTGCCACTGCACTCCAGCTTGGCGACAGAGTGAGACTCTGACCCCCAAAGAAGCTCTAGATGGGAGTTACTTGGGGTGCTAACCTAGGATGGCTCCAGATCTCATAGGATGCAGTATCTTTGGCACAGCTGGCCTTTGCTAAATGAGGTTCCTTCTGTTTGGAGGAGGGTGCCTCCTGTTTTAGAACTGTGGCCTTTGACTCACTTAGGAACCCTACAAGCAGTATGACATTATTACATATGCCAGGGAGAGTGTCCATGCTCTTCCTTTCCCTCTTTTCAGGAGTTCCAAGACCTCTGGCCTCACTTGTCCTTGGTCATTGATGGGGGACCAATAGGGGATGGCCAAAGCCCCGAGTGTCGCCTTGGCTCGACTGTGGTTGACTTATCTGTGCCTGGAAAGTTTGGTATCATTCGTCCAGGCTGGTAAGTCTCTCGCCTGTGGAGTGGGGGTAGAATTTGAAAGAGGTTGGAGAGATGCCTCCTCACCCTCCCCAAACAGCTTTGACAAAGTGAAGGTTTTCATTCCTGTCTTGCTTTGAGGGGGTGTGGGCCGATTTGGGAAAGTGGTAAATGCAGTGGGCCTAAGTTTGCTGGTGTTGGCTTGTTTAGGATCCAGAAGGATGCATCAAATTTGATGAACATAGCATAATAAAACTAAAGAGTTTCAAGGTCCCTGATCATCAGACTCTGGGGGGCTCAGCTTTGAGAAGTCAGCCTTTTAACTATCTTGTTTCCTCCTCAGTGCCCTGGAAAGTACTACAGCCATCCTCCAACAGAAATACGGGCTGCTCCCATCACGTGCATCCTGCTCATGAACTCAGGCAGGGAAGGCCCAAGGACTGGTGCTGGATACTGTGTGTCTGTCTGCTGGTTATTGGCAAGGCCTCATTTGCAGAGGCCGTTGGAACTAGTCACTGGCCTGGCCCTTTAGGCAACATGTCTTTCTGAACACTGTAGGCTAAGTCCCAGAAGCTGCTGGTTTGACCTCAGACTTGGGGGAAAGCTGGTATTTATTATTTATAATTTCATATATTGGCTGAAAGCTGAATGGAGAGTCTGAGAACATTCCTAGGATGGCCTTATTCTGATAAGTTTCTTCTTCTTCTTTTTTTTTTTTAACTGAAAAGTAGTTTAATAGCAGATTTAGAATCTGGTGGGTGATGGCACATGAGGTTCAAACCAGGTATAAGTGCTGGTACTGTTTAAAAAGTCTCAGGTAACCAAAGGCATGGGTTGGGCTCCTGAAGCTGGAACCAGATTAGGATAAAGACTGTTGGACCACAGGCCAAAGGCTGTTTCCCCTAAACCAGTGGGGCTAGTGGTGCAGTCTGTTGTAACTGCCTGGTGCAGAGAGTAGTCATTTTGGTCTAACACAGACCATCCTATCAGTGAGCAGTGAGAAGTCTGCTCAGTTAGGGGAGGATCCAAGTTAAAACGTATGTCTTTTAGGGGTTTGCTAGAGAGGAAAAGGGGGAGAAATATTGGAAAATTAACCTTTACTATCCTTTTATCCAGTGACTGTTTACCCTATTTATTCATAAAATGTTATAATCATACCCATATACCTGTAATACCTTCATTTAAATCCATTGTTGCTCAGCAGCCTGTTGTCTTTATTCACGTGTACCAAGGGGTACCAAGTGTTAAACATAATTGTTATTGGGCATTTGAACTCTTTTTCTTTAATATAAAGAAATGCTGCTATTAAATGTATTTGCAGATGGTTTATTTTTTTTGTTTTGAATTATTTCCTTAGGGTAGGAGTATTAGATCAAGGTGTATGATCGTGTTTATGGCTCTTGATATAGATTAACCTTCCAAAGAACTGAACCAGGTTGCATTGCCATCAGCAATATGTGGGAATGGCTGCCCTTGCTCCCTGGCCCTGGCATATGTTTAGTATATTTCAAATTGTATGTGTGTGAAATGAAGCTTCAGTGTTGCTACCATCCAGCCCTTTTGGCTGTCCCTGGCTGCCTTGTTTCCCCAACTAAACCACAAGCCAGATGGCCATGCCTGCTCATCTATCTGGTTACCTCACTGGGCCTTGAGGTGACCACTGGGGTCTACTTCCCCCTCTCCCCTCTTGGACCCGGTTCCCAGAATTCTGATTCAGTCTTCAGGCCATAAACTTCTCCATACAGTGGTTTCCAGGATATTTTTGAGTATGTCTTAAGAATCTTCCCAAGAAGGTGTTCCAGAGGCCTGTTTTCGTGAGGGTCCCTGCAATTAGCATATTTGCTTGTAAATAAGCACTGGTTTGTTAACTGTTCCCTCTAGAAATCTCTTTTAGCCTAGTGATTTCTTAAGCAAGCCCACTCTTCACTGTGCTAAAACTATAGCTAGCCCAACCCATGTCAACTTATCACAGAATCTAAGTGGTCAAAATTTGTGAAGTCTTGAAAAGAGCAAAAGGAATGCTTGCTGGAGAATACCACTTCATATTTAATAATACAAATCACAGTAGCACTGAAAACGGCTTGAGTGAGTGGGCCTCGTTCTGTTCAGGCAGCTAAAGGGAGGTGGGTGTCCTAGTCTTCTCCCTGGAGCTAAATGTTCGTCTGGGGAAAAGTGGGCTCTGGAACAGAGGGGTATTTTTTAGAGGAAAAAGAACTGAACTCCCAGCACTGACTGGACCGGCAAAGAAAACAAAAACAAACCACAACTGTGCCCAGGCACTAGTTACAAGGCCACACCAAATAAGGAAAGCTGGATCCTGGAAGCTTCAGGAGGACAGGAACCGCTCCTTGGTCAAGTTTTCCCCAGCACCTAGCACACAAGTAAGGTGCTCAATTAGTGAGGGCTGAATGAACATGTGAATGCTTGGGATTACTTCCTGATAACTGGGTTCAGGAATCTACTGGGAGGAGCTTAAACCTAGAAATTCCCTTTTCCAAAGTTTCTAACGTGGTCCCCTAACTTAGAGAAGACATGGTATGGGAAGCAGGCCTAAAGAGAGGACCCAGGCTGGTGGGAGGGACCAGGGTAGATGTGGGCCCAGATCCCGACGCCCTTCCCACCACACAACACTGAACTGCCACAGGGCTTAGAGCTACAAGATTATATGAAAGTGTTCTAAGGACACAGAGCTGCTCTGGGCTAAGTCCAGTCATCTGCCAGCCTCATCTGCTCCCTTGGGGACACTGCCTACTTCCCATCACTGCAGAGCACCCAGCACCACCTGCCTGAGGAGCATGCTCTGTTCTATGTGGGGCCAGAAGCACTCTGCTACTGACTTGGGAATGAGTGGGTGCCCACAGTCTCAGTTAAGCCCCACAAGGTGACACCTTCCAGTGTGGCTGGTACATCGGCACCTCGTGACCCACTGGAGGTCCCTCACATCAGCCACTGCTCCTTTTCTTTGATGAAGTGCTCTGCCCAGCGGCGGGTCAGCTCCAGGTACAGGCTGGGCTGATGAGGCAGGTAGTCCAAATACAGGCGAGTTGGTGTCTTCTTGGGAATGGCCTTCTCGATCTGAGTGCCCTCATGCCACTCATTGAAGGAGGTGATGGAGACGATCTCAGGCCTCACTGTCAGGGCCGCCTGCAGGGCTGTCTCATAGTACTTGCCGTTGACCCTGTTCCGTGTGTTGTGGTTGTTCCAGGGCCGGATGCTGGTGTCTATGTAGCCAGGCCCCACACTGGGAATGAACATGAGGTTGTTGGCGTCACAAAAGTTCTTCACAGCCTTCCAGTTCTGATGGGAGGAGCCAAAGGAGAAACCATTGGAGGCAAAGTAGGTGTACATGCCGTCAAATCCAGCTGCCAGGATGTCATGGGTGTGGCCCTCCTCCACCAGCAGCGCTATGAAGACCCCATCGTAGAGGGTGTTGCGAATCGAGTGGGGCCCATTTGGTGTCAGGAGGTGGGCCCAGGCCTCAGGGGATGTCAGATATGAGTCGTAGATATAAAAGAGTGGGAGGCTCTTGCCCATACTGTTCTTGTAGCGGTAAAATGCACCATGGGAGCCATACCTGAGGAGCCGGAGAAAGAAGAGCCTCAGTTGAACAGGCAAGACCAGCACAGCGGTAGGACCAGCCACGGATGAGATCTTTCCTGATGCCACAGCACAGTTCAGGACCCAGCCAATCTCCATAAACTCACCATGCCTCTAAGCAAGAACCAAGTTCTAAATCTCATCTCCCTACCCTGAGCCAGGCCACCATCATCTTTCATCTGTGGACTATGGCAACAGCCATGGAACTGGTCTCCAGGCTTCCATTCCTGCCTCTCCATAATCCATTCACTACTTGATCTGGCCCTGCCTACCTCCATTCTCGCTATTATCCTTTCTGTGACTCCCCAGTTGGCCTTTCTTTTTTTTTTGAGACAGGGTCTCACTTTGTCACCCAAACTGAAAAGCCACTGTGTGATTATAGCTCACTGCAGCCTCAAACTCTTGACCTCAAGTGATCCTCCCATTTCGGCCTCCCAAAACGCTGGGGTTACAGGCATGAGCTGTTGCACTCAGCCCATCTGGCTTTTCTACTCTGCTGTCATGCCAAGCTTGTCTCATCGTATGGCCTCTGCACCTGCAATCCTCTGCTTGGAAGTTTTTCCCTGCCTCCAGATCTTTGCAGAGCATACTTTTTATTCAGGTGGTAGCTCACTTGTCTCCTGAGAGACTCACTTGACCACCCATTCTAAATAGTTTCTTGGGCGTGGTGTAGCACAAAACTCTGCTTTATTCTTTATTATCATTTTTTTCATAGTATGGATCACTATTTGATTTTTCCTGTTTAATTACTGTCTGTTCCACAGCACCCCCAACCCACACTAGAATGTCCATGTTATAGAATCAGAAACTTTCCTACTCCTACCCATCACTGTATAAATGGGCTTAGCACAGTGCCTGCACACAGTAGCCACTCGGTACTTTCTGAATGAATAGATGATGTGCAAGCACTTTCACATATTAACTCATGTAACTCACAAGACTCAAATGTTAAGAGGCTTGTCTCTGATCACAGATTAGAGGCCACAGAACTGGAAGTGAATGAAGCCCAGTACTTTGCTATAAAACAGCTGCTGGGAACACAGGCATTCTGCCCTTGTGTCTCAGCCTGCCCTTCCAAACCTTCTATCCCTGCCCCCATTTTTATTCCCACCAAAATTCCAGCCCAGAACTGCCTTACGTGTCAATGATGTACTTGATGTTGTCATGTACAGTGATGTCATCCCGGTCCTTGTAGGGTTGGATGTGGAAGGCCACCTGCCACGAACAGAGGAGTGACTGGTCAGGTGAGTATCAGTCCAGAGGCCACAACATATAAGGCCTATGCTCCAACCATAGCCTGGAGGAAAGGCTGAATCCAGGAGAGGGCCTGGCAAGGGGAGGCACAATAAAGGCAGCTACTGCCCTTCAAGGCTGAAACAGGTGAGAAGCTTGCCTGCCTCCCACAGCAGGGCATCTGGGAATCATTTTGGTGGGCTGTTGCAGGGTGGCTGTGAGTGACTGGTGCTAGCTGCCTGAAACAACGTGAGAGGTATACCGAAGTTGTGTCAATGGGAACATGTGCTGTGATCTGTCAGACACATCAGTGATGGAGGGGCCCTCGGGAATGGGAACGGAGCTTCTCTGTCATTTTTCATTCTTTGCCACAGAAGCAGGGAATGACTCATTTGATTGGCCTATTTAGGAAAAGAAATGGCCTGCTTCATAGTAGGTCATAGACACTATTTATTGAAACCTTTCCCCGACACCACACTTACTACATGGTTGTCATTCCTGTGCTGCAGCCAAGAACTTCCATAGAGGCACTAACCCTGGGCAGAGGAGAAGAAATCTCCAAAATGGGGCAGGGAGCACGTGACCGCCCCTTGGAGACTCACCTGGATGTCGTACCTCTTGAAAGTGAGCAGCCAACTGAGCACCTGTTGTGCTCGACTCCTTGCAGCCCAGCACTGCCTGCCATTAGGGAGTTGAGGCCCAAGTTCAGTCTGCAGGTCTGTTGGCTTTTGCCTTCCCTTTCCTCAGGTATCCAACTAACCTATATTATTATTTAACAAAAGTAATATCTATTTACGCTCCCATTTGTCTTGTATTTAGTATTCTCAATTTTTTTCAGAATTCAAAAAAAAGTAACATAGACACTATTTATTGAAACCTTTCCCCAACACCACACTTGCTACATAATTGTCATTCCTGCGCCGCAGTCAAGAACTTCCATAGAGGCACTAACCCTGTGGGCAGAGGAGAGGAAATCTCCAGAATGGGGCAGGGAGCACGTGACCGCTCCTTGGAGACTCACCTGGATGTCGTACTGATGGGCGGTGTCCAGGATGGCGGGTACCAGGTCATCTGAGGGCTCCCCGTTATCGTCAGCCATGCCAGGTGGGTACCAGGACAGGACCAGGACACCTGAGACACAACACAGAGGCCACTTCAGAGATACACAGTTACCCCCCCAACAGATATATATATATATTATATATATATATATTATATATGTATTTTGCACAAATGCCACTGCAAAATGGTTTCTGAAAACCCTGAGCGAGGCTCCTGTCAGGTTCACTTCCTGCAGACCAGATCCCGGAGCTCCGAGCTTGGAGCTGTCCACGCCCACGGTGCTGAAGCTCAGTGACTGCGGAACTCGGAGCCCGCCAGGCCAGGAAGGAGCCAGGCTTTCGAGTACACCAGCAGATAGTAGAACAAAGAGGACAGGGGACAATACCACACCTGCCTGGAAGGCACAGTCCCAGCTCCAAAGAAGAGAAGCACGTCTGAGGTCTCCCATGAAGGAGAGCCCTGAGCAGAGGCCTCTCTGTGCTTTCCTGTGAAATAACAGTTGCCTCGACTGGCTGCCCTCTCCACTGTAAAATCCCGTAGGACGGCCCCTGACTTATTTATCTTTGTATACTTCCCACCCGTCTTGTCATTCCATTTTCTCCCTCACAAACTGTCTCCAGGAAGAATATGTAAAATCCAGCAGAATTAAGTGACAAAACCTGAAACAAGCGAGCCTCCCTCCCCAACCTACAAAGGAGGCTCCCAGGGGATTCTCGTCCAGCTGGGTACTTGAGGAAAAGCTCCCGGTTCCCCCACCCTTTGCAAACAGAGCAGGGTCCAGATGCAACACGGACAAACTCTCCTCTCTGCAGCCAGCAAAAGCAGGAGGGGCTGCAGCTCCACCCTGCACCCGGTGTGAAAGCACAGGCCACCCCAGGCCTCCCTTCCCACGGCCCGATAGATTTGAAGACTCTGCCTCCTCGTCTTGGCGCAGACTCCCAGCAGCTCCGCCCTATGGAAGGGCCCTGGAATCGTCAGGGTCAGAAGGGCCCAGGCGGGTGATCTGAATTCTAGGCAGGGGGCGGGTACTGCACGGAGGGCCCAGGACGAGAGCGAGGGGGAAGAGCTAAGAAGTCAGGCTGGCGGATGAGTGGGACCAAAGGCCCGGGACAGGTCCAGCGGAAACTGGGGGCGTGGGAAGGAAGAAGGGCGAGGCTGGGAGACAGCGCCGCCCGGGGTCGGGGGGAAACTCACCGATGGCGGCTTCCTTGAGCTGGGTCATGTGCTCCCGCAGCACATCGGGGTCCCGGGAGCTGTAGGGCCCCAGCTCCGGGTAGAAGCTGGAGCCTAAGTCGTCCGGGGGGCTGTGGCGGCCGCGCGGGTAGCTGGCCGAGATCTTGGGGTCCCAGTGCGGCACCATGACGTGGTCCCAGTGAATGTAGTGGCCCTCGCGCCGCGGACTCCCGTACCACGAGTAGTAGAAGGCGTGCAGGTCCGAGTAG